CAAAACCAGTGTAGACATATGGTGACTTTGCCGACCACAGCAAGAGGGCTTTGAGTTCACAAAAAAAAAACCTACAGAAATAAAATGTTGTAATATTCCCTATCATTACTAGTTCCGTTTTTGACTCAGTAGTCAAGAGTCCTTGTTGCTGTTGCAGAGGTCTGGAGTCTACTTCCCAGTTCCCCTATCAGGCACCACAAAGCATATTAACCATAACTCACTTGCACATTCCCCCACATACACAGAATTTAAAAGAATAAATATTTAGAATCAATGAGGTGTTTAAACTGAATGCTCCGTTTTAGCACTGTCTCTCTTTCAAACGCTGACTATACATACGCAGGTGTGTGTGATCTAAGCGCGTATTGTATACAAGGCACGGTACTATAAAACAGCTCCTATGCTCTAGTCATAGATAAAACACAGCCTCGTTAAATTTCATAGGTGTATCCCTTTGTTCCATACTAAAGGCTATCTGTTTTCTGATGTATCCGCAATGTTTTATTTATTGTTCTTATCAGATTTGTCCCTCCTCTTCCCGCTGCTCATGCTCTTTAGAAATCTTACCCATTCCTCATAATCTAATTACATTTCGACCTCCTGATTGGAGTCTCCTTCTGTCTCTGAGTCCTTGTTATCACCGCTAGGTGGGCACTATCCTCTAACGTCTCATGCTCCTTGACTGGCGCTGGTGTGGATGGCTACCTGGCTTTTCAGTACATCTTGCTACCCAAGTAGATCTGTGTGCTCTTTCTGTAGGACGAGCACTACGATCTCATGTCATATAAATTCACAGTGAACAGTCGTGGAAACTTGGGGCTGGTCTCCTGCTCCCGAGAAGTAGAGAGTCCTGATACGTGACCTTGAATGCACACAGAGGAACTAAGATGCAGATGCGCACCCGACGACGAGAAAGCTGGTGTAGTTTGGCTGCTGGTTTCCAGCTGCCTGGAAAAGCAGGTGTATTCACCTGCCCTCCCTCATATTCAGATCACAGAGCTGTTTCCCAACTGGAGTTCAGGCAGTTTATATTCCTGCTCCTCAACAAAAGTTACCTTTCTACCTTTTCTTTTCTCTTGCTTCTTCTGTTTACCAACCGACTATTCATTTTCTCATGGAGCCATATATTTGTGTGAGGTATCCATTGCATTGTGGTTTCCCGGGGCAACAGTTAGGAGTCCTTATTGAACAGGTATAAAGTGGCATTCTTGGAAGGTGCCGTCTCTCCCACCACTAACTTTCCCTTGAGTCTAAGTGTCCGACCTGTGCGCTCAGAGTATTGGCTTGGTTAATGGGGCTCCTGGATTAAAACTGCAATAATACAACCAGATAGGGAAAGCTTTCCATGAAGTTAAACTTGGAATTTAAAGATGAGAAGACAATCAGTAGCCTTGTGCTGTGCGGGACCTGACGCCGGTGTTGACAGAACTCTCCGTGTCTCGGATTCTTACTGAACTCTCCAAGTCTGACTTTGTTCTCTGTAGCAAACTAGCTATCACTTTGTCCAGCTCTACAAAGACGTATGGTGGACAACGGTCTCTGAGTTTGAATCCCAGTGTTTACAAAGTGGGCTCCTGATCAATCCTCCACTCTCTGAAGAAGAACCTTCACCGCTACCATGAGCCCATCTCCAGATTAACCAAAATACGATCAGATAAGAAATGATGACTCAATATTTTGAGGGGTGGGTGGTATGGTGAAGCCACTGCTTTAGGGAGATAAGTTAGACAAGCAAAAGAGGTGTTTGCTTCACTGTATGCAGGTATGGGGTGAAGGGTTGACACAGGCTCTTTTCCATATCTAATCTCCTGCCACCTTTATAATAGTGGCTAGAGGTAAGGCAGCTGCCATCCTTACGCAGCCCACACAGGAGGACATGTGCCTGCTTGCAGAAACTAACCAGCTCATCCAAGATCCTGACAAGCATTAAATCCTCCTTCTGGAACCGCCTGACAACATCAAATCTCTACAATACTCTCCAAATCCCACCCTATTCTCAAAGGTGATGGGTGAGAGAGATGCTTTCACTCTCTTATTAGTTTGTCTTGTAGAAAGGCAGCTTGAGAGAGAGGCAGGAAACAGGGCACAGGCAAATGAGAGAGAGAGAGAGGAGACACAAAGGGGTGGGTTACCCCGCGGCTTACACATGTTCTGGAATGCGGATGGTGACTTCCCTCCAAAGGAGATGCACTTCAGTAACATCTCCCTTCTTCTACCCAGAAATGAACAATCCCTTCTTTGTGCCTGTTTTGTGCTTCACATGAATTTAACAAGGATCAGTGAATATTGAACTTAATTATTCAAATATTATCTTCACCTAAAGATATCTCCTTTTGTGGGAAGGGAGATTATTAGAGTAACACTGATTCATTAAGTCAATAGTTTCATGGGTTCTCTATGTAATATGTACTGGGTGATTTGAAACTACATTTAACGACCAGACTATATCTGTCTGTCTGTCTATCTACCTATCTATCTATACCTATATAGATATAGGTATTTTTTTGGGGGGGGACAGTGTTTCTCTGTATAGCCCCATCTGTCCTGAAACTCATCGATCTATAGGCCAGGCTGGCCTTGAACTCAGAGATCTGCCTCTGGAGTGCCAGGTTTAAAGTCATGTACCACCACCTGACTGATAAGTGTATATTTAAAACTTTTTGAAGCTCACACTTTAGAGACAAGGTGCCAATGGTGTTATCTGTTGCATTGATGAGGATGGTGGCTTTGGGGTTAAGGGTTTCACATGAACTTGAATTGCAAAGGAAAAGCTTTATCCAGAACAAAATGAAGGAAAAAGAAGACAGATATTTTGGGAAAGATTTTCCGGGGACAGAGGAGATGCGCATAATACCGAAAGACTGTGGAGGCATGGGTGGTGTGACCCATGAAGAGCGGGGAGCCGTGACAGCCACACAGAGAGAACACATGAGATCAGAGCAAGAATAAGGAGTCAAATGTCTCAAGAAATTATAAGGACGTTGACTTCTACTTGGGGAAGAACAGAGATGGAGCAGGTTTAAGTGCTGGAGTTATGTGTCAAAAATTTCAACTTGATGACTATGGCCGAGAGTGGACAGCAGAGAAATACAGACAGAACTGGGAGTGGGCGGTTATGTGAAATGCTGGTTGTTTAGATCAGATAGCAGTCAAACAGGTGGCAGACGATGTAAGATTACACTTTGAAAATGACTTGGATAGAGTTTGTGATATTAGAAAGGAGGTGTGCAACCAAGAGAGAAGGGGGAAATGTGACCCCGTCCTTTTGACTTGAGCCATGCCCACAGGAAGGAAAGATTCTGAGGAGCAGCCATCCAAAGATAACGACTATGAACCGAATGTTTGTGTTCTTCCAAAAGTCAATGTATTGGCAGTTGGAGACGGAGCCCGTGGGATGTAACTAACTTATGAGGGCGAAGGCTTGGGAATAGGGTTCATGCCCTAGTAAAATGATAGATAGGAAGGTACATTCTTCCCACCTCTGCAACAAGAGATTCTTTGAGAAGACAACCACCTGCCAAGAAGAGATCAGGAAGTGTGCTTCTGTCACATACTAGATACACTAGCACCTCGGTTTTAGACTTTATCTCTGGGAGTGTGAGCAATACATTTTCAATGTTTGAGCCCTATCGTCAAGCAACCTGAACGAAGGCAAGAGCTGATCTTTGCGAGCACAGCTGACCTTGAGTCATTTCGAAGGGCAGAGGAGGCATAAAAGGAAGCTCAACAAAGAATAGGAGTTGAGAATCTGGAGGCAACAGTATAGGCCTTGAGGGTTCGGTTTAAAGGGAGGGGGAGAAGGGTTAAATACCTCCTCCTGATGTAGTAGGATTACCTACCAAGTCCAAATGTGGTTCCCGCAGTGTTTGCAGAGGTTAGTGGAGCAGTTTCACAGAATGCTGCTGTTACCAGCTATTCTCGTCACCACCATCATTAAGCAATTAATTAATCACAAATTTCTAACTTCTCCGGCTATCTCAGAAATCAAAATAAGGGGCCTTATGACCTGGAGAGCCGGCTCCATGAGAAACAGCCGTGTAAAACGTGACAGGAAGGTCAAGAAGGAAGGCAGGTTTGGGTTCGAGACAGAAGTCTCTTACCAAACTATCCTGCCCCAGTTCCTGATTTTCTTTTCGCACCAGGGAGGATGATCCTTCCCCCCCACCCCCACTCCTTCCTCCTTTGCCTTTGCGCCCCCTACTTCTTCTTCAGCAGCGGTTCTTTCTCAGTGCAGGGCTCTCTGGAAGCTCGGCCCCTGCCAGCCTCCTCTTCCATCTCTGCGCAAGGGAAGAGGACGAGCGCGCAAACTCCGGCAGTGCAGGAGCGGGCGTTCTGATCGTGTGCGAGCCCAACTCCGAGCCGGGCAGAGGTGCAGGGAGGCGCACTGGGTGCGGGTCCAGAGCCAGAGCGTGGCCCGCAGCCCTCAGGGCGTGGGCGAGCCGGCCGCGTGTGCCTCGCTGTTTGACGCGGGCACCAGCCAATCAGGGCGTGCGGCCAGGCTGCCACGTGACAGGCGAGGCGGCCCTTTTCCCCAGCGCGGCCAGAGGGAGGAGAGGAGCGGAGCCAGCCCTGAGCCTGGGAGCGCAGCGGCCAC